AGGTTGCCATGGCCTCATTTGTCCCCCATATAGCTTCCGGGTTGCCATTCCTCAGCATCTCACCACATGTGGTTCTTGCTGAGGTGTTGGTTCTGGAAAGGAAAGGGCCCAATACACGGCAAGTCCCTATGCAACTTTACGGATATGTTTCCGCAAAGATTAAGCGGATTATAATTGTTTCTTAGAAAGTGCCAGTTTCATTAGCTGCCAGGCAAACAAGGCACTGGTAGCAGAAACCTCAGCTTTCCAACAAACTGGTAGGGAAAAAGCGTAACAGAAAAGCGCGGAATCGAGATCGAAAACAGGCAGGCTCAAGACTTAAGTCTCACCAAGTTTGTGCCGATACCAACGGCATCTTGTGGCCAGGCATGCTGACAAGACATCTTTTGTCGCTTGAGCCTTTCTTGCTGGGGATGGGCACTTGATGGCGTGTCATCTCCTTCTCCTTTTGGAGCTTTCAATGGTAGACGAACTTGTTTGCTTCAATTAGCACAATGAAACCTCAAAAGGCAATGAAAAGCACCGGGTGCCTTCTTGACAGTGGTATTTCAAAGGTACCGTGTGTTCTGAGAGTCTTGTGCCGGCACTTACCTTACAAATAAGTCATGTCCAGCTCCGTCTGAGAGTGTAAGCCCTGTAAGCCCCGTCAGACGGAACCGAGAATGCAGGCGCTTTCCGACAAGGGTCGCTTCTGTTAGCGCAGCGTGTGGAATGTTTTCCTTGAGGGTGAGCATGCAAGTGGATGGTAAATGTGCAACAGATGGAAATCAGGACGTGATCTTCCTGCCATAAGAGCCGCAGACAGAAACATCCCGTTAATGACGTGCGTTTGCAGCATGGCAAAAGCAAATTCAAAGTTGTTAAGTTGTTTCTTCTCCTAGGGTTAGTTCTATGCGGAACAGCTAGAGCCTTTGTGTGGAGTGCTCATCCTTGACTCGTTGATGTGAAAAGGGCCCAATACATGGCAAGTCCCTATGCAACTTTACGGATATGTGTCCGCAAAGATTAAGCAGATTGATTGTTTCTTCGAAAGTGACAGTTTCATTGGCTGCCAGGCAAACAGGGCACTGGTAGCAGAAACCTCAACTGTCCAACAAACTGGTAGGGAAAAAGCGTAACAGAAAAGCGCGGAATCGAGATCGAAAACAGGCAGGCTCAAGACTTAAGTCTCACCAAGTTTATGCCGATAGCAATGGCATCTTGTGGCCAGGCATGCTGCCAAGACATCTTTTGTCGCTTGAGCCTTTCTTGCTGCGGATGGGCACTTGATGGCGTGTCGTCTCCTCCTTTTGGAGCTTTCAATGGTAGACCAACTTGTTTGCTTCAATTAGCACAATGAAACCTCGAAAGGGAATGAAAAGCACCGGGTGCCTTCTTGACAGTGGTATTTCAAAGGTGCCGTGTGTTCTGAGTCTTGTGCGGGCACCTACCTTACAAATAAGTCATGTCCAGCCCCGTCTGAGAGTGTAAGCCCTGTAAACCCCGTTAGACGGAACCGAGAATGCAGGCGCTTTCTGACAAGGGTCGGTTCTGTTAGCGCAGCGTGTGGAATGTTTTCCTTGAGGGTGAGCATGCAAGTGGATGGTGGATGTGCAACAGATGGAAATCAGGACGTGATCTTCCTGCCATAAGAGCCGCAGACGGAAACATCCCGTTAATGACGTGCGTTTGCAGCATGGCAAAGGCAAATTCAAAGTTGTTAAGTTGCTTTTTCTCCCAGGGCTAGTTCCATGCGGAACAGCTAGAGCAGCTAGACGTAGTCAAGCTCCTCACTCGTCTATGGGCAGGTGGGCAACCTTGCGAGCTGGTGACAGGGCTCGCAGTTCCGCCGGTGACAGTTACCGGCAATGTTTGTTTTGTTCACAACATGGACGCGATTACCCTGATTTGCATCACCCATTAGAGGAATGCCCACTCTCACTGAGTATGCAAGCTGGTGTGGACACAACGATTTTGCAATGCATTCGAAAACCGTGGGATCAAGCGTGCACAGCTTCCCAACGACTGCGGGCTATGAAACTGCTGAGCGCAATCTGGAGAAGCAGAGCTATTTGGCTGAGAAAGCACAGACCTCAATAGTCAGGTTTGCGTCCTTTTCAGATCCCTACCCTTTTAAAAATGAAATTTGAGGGGGGGGAGTCGTACTGAAATTTCATTTTTGCATTTTTTCTCAATGATCAACATTCCTCCTCATTCCATATCATTGGCAAGCAGATGAAAATTAAATACTTGCGCTTAGCTCCTCCGGAGCTAAGCGCATGTCAGACTGAAGCAGCACATGTGTAGGGGTGGCATCCCTCCAAAAAATTGCGCTGCCGTCATCATACTTGCGCTTAGCTCCTCCGGAGCTAAGCGCAAGTATTTTCTAACCAGTGCCCAAGGCTTGTTAAGAAATGTTACTTTAAAATTCCATTTGAGGGGTTGGATCACTATCCCACGGTTTCCAAGCAAAGAAAAGTGGAATTCGACAGGTTGGTTTTGTCCCCCCCCCGCCCTCCCCCTCTCTAGGGGTAGGGATCTTTTCAGCACACTGCAGAAGGCGGTGTGCCGCAAGGGATTTGTCAGACGCTCTCCGAGCGCAAGCAGCTGTGGGCCGCGAAAACCTCCACGCGCGAAAGCTCCGCGAAAGGAGTGCGTCAAGGTCGAGCCGCGAAAGCAGCGGCGAAGGCAGGTAGATAGTAGAAGCGCATTTAAATATTCATGTGCAACATCATCGCGAAAGCTTATAAGGATTAGAACATAATATTAGAACCAAATCGCGTGACTTAGGCATGAGTTTCGCGCTTTCCTGTACCAGGGGAGGACAAACCGTGCGGTATTTCCAACAAACCTTTTTGCAAGCCATGCATTGGATTGGGACATCAGGGCTATGGCGGCTATGCAGTCCCAGCTCAGTACACCATGGTGTCCTGCCAGCCTCTAAGAGCCGCGGGGGATTCTGTGATCACCATAGTTCGCGGATCTCAACGTCTCAACGTACCGACAGCATGATGGAAAGCCATAATCCCATTTTTGGGTCAAACGGCCTTGACTTGGCAGTTTTTATTGGTCATTACCGTTTTGATTGTCTGGAACCACTTGTGTGAGTGCGGCTCGACCTTCGATGTTCCTCATAAGGGTCCATCCTAGAGGCCGCATATCTGTAACATGGGTAAATTGTAGCCTTTTCGTCAAACCTGTCCTTTGTGCTAACGGGCTCAGTAAACCGATCCTTTAAGAAGCGCTGGGTCCGCTTGATCAGATCATATTTTGGATTGGGAAACATCCGCAGCCTCCATTCCCAAGCGCGCCCAGCAACTTTTTGCGGCTTACTTTGACTCCAAATATTGGACAGCTGTGTGGCTGCGTCATTCCTTTTCAATGGGCATCATGATGCAGAAAAGGCTTGCTTGTCACTCCATGTGAGGTGTGCCGAAGGATCAATGGCGACCGAGATGGACATGTTTCACAGCCGCCACAAGCCGTGCTCTAAGTCTCCAACAGATCCAGAGCCTTTCTCAGGTTTTGTTTGCTTCTCACCGGGTGCCGGGTGCAAAGTTTCCGACTTACCAAAGTCGCCTCCAAAGTGCTGAGCCGATGAATGGCCAGGAACTTTTGCTCCAAGCTGGTGCAAAAGTTGGTTCGACGCAACGCAGCAGAGTGTTTGTTCTTCATTTGGAGTGGGCAATGTTGAAATCCCCATTCCAAGCAGTTTATCAAAGGTCCGCTTTCACTACAAGTGGCTGGCGTCGTTGCATGGTATTTTCATCCCACTTTGCTTTGCCCTGCATCACCCGGCGAATGTTGAAGGCAGACAGCACGAAAGAACATGATGCCCCATTGGCGCCACTAGCTGCGTCGACTTGCGTGCTGAGGCCCCAACTAGTTGCAAAACCGTCCAAACCACTCCAGTGATTCTGCGGCAGCCAAACTTAGCCAAGTGACAATGCCTGTGAAATTTCCAAGATGCGACGTCCGAAATCAAAAGACTACAGCGGCTACTCGCCAGATCAGCTGACTTCCATGAGTGTTTCCAGGTTGCCCAAAGTGGCTTGGGATGCTTGGGATATTTGGCACTTCTTGAACCCGCGAAAAAAATGCAGGTGTCGCCAGGGGGGAAACGCAGAATTGGGGATATGTAGTCTGTCAAGCCATTCTCCTCAACCAGTTCCCTGTTGGAAAGTGGTGCAAATTCAGGGTTTTTTGTTGGCGATCAGACATATTCCGGAAGGTAAATTGATCACGTTGAGGTGGGGATATTTGTGCAGGTTCACACAATTACCTAGGTGCTTGCAAACCACTTCGTTTTTTGGCGTCAGTGCAGAACGCGCTGTACAGTCACAGATGTTTGTAAGTTGTTTGGAGAGATTGGAATGTTACTTTGTTTCAACATGTATATGACAAACTATGCAACGCATGAGGTTTTGCATTTACAGTCCAACTTGGGGATTATTTTGTGAGGGCATGTGTGCACTGTCCCAGCAACGGGTTTATATGGATTTGAAACACTTGTTGGTAAACGGAACAATGTCAGTTAAACACTTTCTTCAATGCATGATCTGTTTGTTGCACCCAACAGGTTTTATGAAAACATATCCAGAAACAATAAGGAAAACTTGTCAGACGATTTGAAAATTTCAATGTATCGATGTCAGGCCTGTATGTTACGTGTGCAGCGCATGTGCAGCGCTTGCGGCTGGAGCAAGTGGAGGTTGTGATGGTGGCAGAAATGACCAAAATCATCGATTCCGTAGTCGATCTTCAATGATTTTGGATTGGTGGCTGCAAACACCATTATTATATATATATATACCTGGAGCCTATAGAGCTCCAATTTTAGAGCAAGGCCATGTTCCACTATGATCCACGCCTCCATGTATAAAAACACGCCCCTGCCATAAAAACATGGTCCCCTTGATTTTGGCATTTTTTGTTGGAGTATGTTGGAACACTCATAATGCCAAGATATTCCGATGGTGCCTTTATCCACTGATATTTGTTCTCATACCGACACCCAGCCGCTACCCGCTGCTCATGTGACCTCACTGGCTGGGCAAAAGTAGTGCCAGCAAAGTGCTGGGCTGAGTGGGGGGTTCAGGTGATTCAAGTGGTTTAAAGAGTTTAGAGATCCAATCGGCTTCTTTTCTCCCCCACCGCTCAAGTAAGCATCAAATCTAATTACATCCCCCGGTCATCGTTGTCAGAGGCCGCCAGAGCAAACATGCTAGCAATAAGAGCCCGGTCACAGACCCTTTTGTGTAAGAGTGATCCAGCATGAACTCTCCGACTTATTCTAGCAGGTTTGCCAATATAGTCCTCCTGTTGCTGTGCACTGGTAGCTAATGGTGAGATCACCCACTGAGAACGCATTGAATCAAGTATTAAGCGAATACCAGCATGGTGCACCATGTGCAATTTTGGGATGATGGCATATCGGTTTTTCCCTTCCCGGAGACATTGCTTTGCACATACACCGTAGGCTTGCACAAAACCCAGTAGCATCCTGCCAAGCTTGTTCCCGAAGAAAGATCGGATCCAGTAGCCGTGGCTAAACATGAACGACATTGACATGTTCGCTGCCTTTGTGCCCCGTGCCTAGGATTGGTAAAGTATCAAAACAACACCACATGTACCCTGACAAAAAATAAAACCATGACCAAGACCAAAACAGAAAAAAAATGTTCAAGTTCAAAACCATTCAAATTACAATTGCACACAACACCACATCGTCAGATTCGCCAACTCCATACCGATCACACAACGTCTCTAAGTACTGGCAGAAGTGTGTTGAGACCACACCTTTGGACCATTGCCCCGGAGGACATGCACTTGACATAGGAAAGGCCATGGTTGCCCTTGATATCTCTGACAAATAGGGTGAGATCTTGCGGGTGCGGCAAAACGCTTTGAAGTCACTGGTCAGCCAAGAAAACTTAGCTTCAACAGACCCTTGAAGGGGGGCCAAACCCAGCCTCTCAATCAAGGACACGAAAGCACATGCCACCCAATGTTTCAGGCACCCCAAATGCATGTTGTGCCAAATGTCAGTTTCAAAGAACTGTGCCCGACTGGATCGATCCAAAGGAATGCCCCGTAGTAATGTGGGTTCTCTCAACCACGGATCTGAAGTGTGCATAGTAGGAAGCCATGATGGCTGTAGTGAAAAATCCTCAAAGGGACAATCTACTTGCCCATGTTCGTTTCTCTCCTGACCTGCTTTGCAGTAGTGGCAGATGCCTTTGGACGCAGTGCGGCTAGAACTTGCCTTGCAAACGTGAGAAAATGTCCTTGTCAGTCCTCCAACTTTAGCTAAGGCAGGAAGGTCGCCTTTGGTGGCAATGTGTAGCATGAACACAGTCTTTGTGCCATCACTACTAGTGACCCCCTCCGTGATCAGCTTCTCACAATCTGAGGCGAAGATATCTAGCAAAATATCCAAGCAATCAGTTCTTTCGTTCATGAACTGCCGAACCACACTGGTGAACATCATGTGTGTTGCCCATGTGTTGCCTATGAAGTTGAGGCCCATCTGCAACTTAGAAAGCTCTGCCTTGTGCTTCTGCTTGCGGACGTAGGAGCTGGTGCCCCTCCCCAAGGCCCCATGAACTGACAAGACATAGATCGGTTTCGATTTGTAAGTCCGGCCCTCATCAGAATGAGAATAGAAAGGAATGGTCCTTTTGAGGTCACAAGGCAAAGTAAACACCTTGTGATTAGGGTATAGCTCCCTGAAGCGAGCCCAGTACTCGCCAAGGACAACTTGCATTCTTTCCCGGCTGCCCACTCCTACAAATTGTCTCCAAAGCGGACCCGGATCATTTTGAAACACCGGATAAGGCTCATTTTGAAACACAGAGGATAAGGATCATTTCGAAACACAAAAGCCCCGGATAAGGATCATTTTGAAACACATCCAAGATACTGCTGTTTAAGACATCTGGAAGGCATAGCATTTCTTTGTAACCACCATGGCGCTTGTAACACCACAGCACATTGATGAAACCCTAGCAAATCAGCTCTTCAAACAAAAACAATCAAAAAAACAAGTTAGCTCTTACAAGGAGATTCATCCCTATCATAAATGCAATGTGACCGCAAAAGGCTTGAGTCTTTTCCCGTCAGCCATCTATTTGTGGCAGCTTTGTCCGGCAATTCATGAGGATCTCGTTCGAGACACGTATCAAAAAAAAATAAAAATGCATCACAAAAAATATCCAGCACGCATCAAAAAAAAATATATATGCATCAAAAAAAATATCCAGGTGCCACTGTGTGAGACCTCACGGGTTTCGTGCTGCAAACCTAGATCAAAAAAAATATCCGTATCAAAAAAAATATCATAGTAGTAGTAGGAGTAGTAGTAGTAGTAGCAGTAGTAGTAGTAGTAATAGTAGTAGTAGTCAGTAGTAGTATAGTAGTAGTACTAGTAGTAGTAATAGTAGTAGTAGTAGCAGTAGTAGCAGCACTAGCCAGCAGCAGTAGTCAGCAGCAGCACCGTAGTAGTAGTAGTCGTCGTCGTCGTCGTCGTCGTTGTAGTCGTAGTCGTAGTCGTAGTCGTAGTCGTAGTCGTAGTCGTAGTAGTCGTAGTAGTAGTAGTAGTTAGTAGTAGTAGTAGTTAGTAGTAGTAGTAGTAGTAGTAGTTAGTAGTAGTAGTAGTTAGTAGTAGTAGTAGTAGTAGTAGTTAGTAGTAGTAGTAGTTAGTAGTAGTAGTAGTTAGTAGTAGTAGTGTTAGTAGTAGTAGTGTTAGTAGTAGTAGTAGTAGTAGTAGTTAGTAGTTAGTAGTTAGTAGTTAGTAGTTAGTAGTTAGTAGTTAGTAGTTAGTAGTTAGTAGGTAGTAGTTAGTAGGTAGTAGTAGTAGTAGTAGTAGTAGTATTAGTAGTAGTAGTAGTAGTAGCAGTAGTAGCAGCAGGAAAAAAAAAGGAATAGTAGGTAGCAAGGGGAACCGGTTTAAAAATAAAAGCGGGTGTGGGGGTGCAGGGGGGAGGGCGCAGCGCCTCCCCCCGCAATGCGTACCAAGAGAGAAGCACATAGGCACAAGTCTCAATGGATATATTGCAAGTAAGAACGACAAGATCAAAAAAGAAGCACGTAGGCACAAGTCTCGATGGATATCAGCAAAGATGAAATTAACCCAAATAAACGATGATGCTTATGCAAAAAGAAAGGAATAGTAGGTAGCAAGGGGAACCGGTTAAAAAATAAAAGCGGGTGGGGGGGTGCAGGGGGGAGGGCGCAGCGCCTCCCCCCGCAATGCGTACCAAGAGAGAAGCACATAGGCACAAGTCTCAATGGATATATAGCAAGCAAGAACGACAAGATCAAGAAGGAAGCACATAGGCACAAGTCTCGATGGATATCAGCAAAGATGAAATTAAACCAAATAAACGATAATGCTTATGCAAAAAGAAAGGAATAGTAGGTAGCAAAGGGAACCGGTTTAAAAATAAAAGCGGGTGGGGGGGTGCAGGGGGGAGGGCGCAGCGCCTCCCCCCGCAATGCGTACCAGAGAGAAGCACATAGGCACAAGTCTCAATGGATATATTGCAAGTAAGAACGACAAGATCAAGAAAGAAGCACATAGGCACAAGTCTCGATGGATATCAGCAAAGATGAAATTAACCCAAATAAACGATGATGCTTATGCAAAAAGAAAGGAATAGTAGGTAAAACAAAAAAAACAGTTTAAAAATAAAAACGGGTGGGGGGGTGCAGGGGGGAGGGCGCAGCGCCTCCCCCCGCAATGCGTACCAAGAGAGAAGCACATAGGCACAAGTCTCAATGGATATATTGCAAGTAAGAACGAGAAGATCAGGAAAGAAGCACATAGGCAGAGGTCTCGATGGATATCAACAAAGATGAAAATAACCCAAATAATCGATGATGCTTATGTAAAAAGAAAGGAATAGTAGGTAGTAAGGGGAACCGGTTTAAAAATAAAAGCGGGTGGGGGGGTGCAGGGGGGAGGGCGCAGCGCCTCCCCCCGCAATGCGTACCAAGAGAGAAGCACATAGGCACAAGTCTCAATGGATATATTGCAAGTAAGAACGACAAGATCAAGAAAGAAGCACATAGGCACAAGTCTCGATGGATATCAGCAAAGATGAAATTAACCCAAATAAACGATGATGCTTATGCAAAAAAAAGGAATAGTAGGTAGCAAGGGGAACCGTTTTAAAAATAAAAGCGGGTGGGGGGGTGCAGCGGGGAGGGCGCAGCGCCTCCCCCCGCAATGCGTACCAAGAGAGAAGCACATAGGCACAAGTCTCAATGGATATATTGCAAGTAAGAACGACAAGATCAAGAAAGAAGCACATAGGCACAAGTCTCGATGGATGTTTTGAAAGAAGAAGAAGAAAGAGAAAATGAACCCTAAGAAACGATGCTTATGAGCAAAAGGCAAGAGAGTAGGTAGCAAGGGAAGCTGATGAAAAAACAAAAGCGGGTGGGGGGTCCCCTGCAATGCGTACCAAGAAAGAACATGAAAGAAGTACATAGGCACAAGTCGCGATGGAGATCAATGAAGATGAAATGAACGCAAATAACCGATAATAAGTGTTGACTGCACACATGGTCCTTCCTTCCTTCCTTCCTTCTTTCCTTCCTTCCTTCCCTCCTTCCCTCCTTCCCTCCTTCCTCCTTCCCTCCTTTCCTCCTTCCCTCCTTTCCAACTTCCCTCCTTTCCTCCTTTCCTCCTTCCCTCCTTTCCTCCTTCCCTCCCTCCTTCCTTCCTTCCTTCCCTCCTTCCCTCCTTCCTTCCTTCCTTCCCTCCTTTCCTCCTTTCCTCCTTCCCTCCTTATTTCTTTTCTTCCTTCCTTCCTTCCTTCCTTCCTGCCTGCCTGCCTGCCTTCCTTCCTTCCTTCCCTCCTTTTCTCCTTTCCTCCTTCCCTCCTTCCCTCCTTTCCTCCTTCCCTCCTTCCCTCCTTCCTTCCTTCCTTCCTTCCCTCCTTCCCTCCTTCCTTCCTTCCCTCCTTTCCTCCTTCCCTCCTTTCCTCCTCCCCCCTTTCTTCATGGTCATTTATTTTTTTTGATACATTTATAGTTTTTTTTGATGCATCTTTATTTTTTTTGATGCATTTTTATTTTTTTGATGCTTCTCCCGATCGTTCCCAAAGAGGACCAAAACCCCTTTTCACCACGCCATTTGGTGGAAGATACCACTGTGACCGTGAATGTCATGGTCTTAGACATGCCAAGGAAGTTTGTCTGACGCCACGATGTCACAGATGTGGCCCACAGCCAGACGTTCCCCAACATAGGCTGTATGCGATCTCACATGGATATGCACTTCATGTTGATTATGAGCATTGTCGTGATGCGGGATCCAATGGTCCACTTCGGGCCTTCAATCCATGTGCGATTTGCTGCACTGCAGATGATAGACTTGTTATGACTTGTTTAGAGGGCTTGAGCTGAATATGTGGTCAGTGGAACTGATCACATAGGGGGAGTGCGTGTAAGAATTCCATGCATCCCTATTTACCAATTCTCAAATGGAAATACTTCCACTTTTGCTTTGACTTCAACCCACCGGGTGTTGTCCAGACTTCAACTCACCGGGTGTTGTCTAGGAATCCTGAAGAACCTGCATCTGGGCCGGACCGAAGCCTTTTAGATGTCAAGCGGCACAAAGGTGCGTCAGCTAGCAGCGAGGTGGCTGCTTGGAGTTTTGGGGAAACTTGGTTTTGTTTTTTGGGTTGAAACATTTCTTTTTTCCGGTTGGGGTCGGGATCTCAGTTGCTGTTCAGGGTTCCAGGACGGTTCACTTGTTGGCATTGGGAGGCTTCAGGAAACACAGAAACCATGGAAACCGTGCAAACTATGAAAACCGTACAGAAATCTTGGACAACAGGGAAACCATGGAAACCGCAGACAAATCATGGAAACCATGGAAACCATGGAAACCGCAAAGAAATCATGGAAACCGTGGAAACCATGGAAACCGCAAAGAAATCATGAAAACCATGGAAACCGCAGACAAATCATGGAAACCATGGAAACCATGGAAACCGCACAGACATCATGGAAACCATGGAAACCATGGAAACCATGGAAACCGCAAGAAGAAATCATGAAAACCATGGAAACCGCAGACAAATCATGGAAACCATGGAAACCATGGAAACCGCAAAGAAATCATGGAAACCATGGAAACCATGGGAAACCGCAAAGAGATCATGGAAACCACAAAAACCATGGAAACCGCAAAGAAAGTATGGAAACCATGGAAACCACACAGATATCATGGAAACCATGGCACAGAGTGTGTCGCGTTTCAAAATGAGTAATAAAGTCGCGTTTCAAATTGAGTATTATCCCGCGTTCTAAAACGAAACCTTCCCGTGGCTCCAAAGCCTGTTCGTGTCAAGTAACCATTGTGCCCAAGAGCTGATCCTGATGTAGGGTATGCTCTTCATACCATCCATTGTTGGATACTCTACTTTGACAGGCGCACATAGGCCTAGCTCCCTGAACAACTCATGACAGCCAGCCTCCGCATCTTCAACAGGGATTTTGGCAAAACGTTTCACAGCAGCATTGGGACGTGGATTCCCACTCACCTCTGCCCGGGCTAGCTCGACAACTCGGCAGCAAGGAACCTTAGAGGCCAGCGCTGGCAAACATAGAAAGGAAAAATGATGCAAGAGAAAACTCAGATGTGCCTCAACATTCGTTTGAAGATTGCTCAATGCGGACAGGTACACTCAGCACTCAGCACTCATAGCAGTATTTTTTGCCAAGTAGTGTGAGTCCACAGGCAAACCACAAGCTAAAGGTAATTTTGATGCAACAGCAGCTTGAAAGTAATTTCAGCCCATCCAGCGGGGTTGGTCTGCCCGACCCCCAACCACATAAGTATAGTATGGGGGGTGAGAAGGCACGTTGGCCCGGTTCAGAGCACCCTCACCACCAGAATTTGGTCTGTTTTTGCACCCGACGTGCTTTCCAAATTCATGTATTAAAGCTGCCTCAAGCATATGAATGAGGTCTATGCTGTCAGATTGGGTCAGTACCCACATGCAGGTGTACCCTCTTTCCAGGTACCACTCAAAACGACGTGCGGGATGGCATGTCACCCCGATCTTAAAGATACAAAGACGAACTCCCATTTCTTCCCTCATAGAAGTGATTTGGTCCACGGCATGTTTCAAGATTTTGCCAGTAGTCGGGTTTCCGCTTGTGGCCAAACATTTCATTTCTAACCCTGACTTGAAGATCCGATCTGATTCAGAAAGCTCAGTAGGCGGTCCTTGGGTTGAAGAACCACCAAATTCTGACGAGACATCCTTCACCTGAGCTAGGCTGATGTCATGTGGGATGAAGTCTCAGGGGAACATCAAGTAATTCTAACAACCCCAAACTTTCATGATCAATGCATTGATTGGCAGAATGTGCGCCAAGGTGCTGGCAGTGGATGCTGTTCGGTGACCACAGCAGTCTGGTCCCGGGAGAAATAATCCATCAAGGGGTCCCAAAAATCATCATCATCATTGGAAGAGACCAGTGGAGGGACAACTTCTTGGGAAGTCCTTGGATATAGGATGTTGCACATGAAAATGACACCAACATAAATAAATTCACTCATAGTAGAAATATAATGAAATATATATATGTGCATAACCATAACTGTGGCCAAATGGCTTTGCAATCTTCACAATGCTAGATGGGCTGACAGCATCCACAGTCCGCTTGATCCCCATGGGCCAAAGGGAAGAAGGTGGAAGAATAAATCAATAGAAATTAAAACATACGGTTTTCAAGATGCCATATGATTGAAAAAAAGTGAGCATAGATACTTGTTCAACATTTTTGGACCTGATGTGCACGGCTGATTGCTGAATCACCTTTTTCCAGTTTTGTTGGCGTCACTGAATGGTTTTGATCCATCATGCAGCTGCATGAACATAAGCGAATCATAAGTGATTGGCAAGCTTCCACCTTGATCCACTAGCTGCACTGGCTGGCATGAGTTCCCGGCTCCGTAGCTGATGAGCTGGGCACAGTGATTCAAGAAGTCGTCGGGGCCCTGGAGCTTGCGATCCTCACCTGGCAATGGGCTGCAGTTGAAATATAATACAATATCGCAGGGGGGGCAATCAAACTTTGGCGAAATCATATATTTTTTGGTTTTAAACTTCAACAGGTTTTTTTGCCTATCAATCTCTCCTAGTTAATCAGTATGGAGATGTTGAAGAATTCCGGGCTTGACTTGGCAGAGTTTCTCTGATATTATTGTATGACAATTTGACAGCATCTCAAGCCCCAAGCATCTTGATTTCCGCTCGACCCCCCGAGCTGACACCGGTGATAGGAGGATTGGCACGTGCTTTGCACATGTTGACCCGAGGCATGTATAGTGCGTTTGCACCCACTGCTACTTTCAACTTCCAGCCATTTTCCAAGACAAAAAAGCTTGGGGTGATCTCAAGACTAAGTTGGGGAAGTGATAGTACTTGGAAAAACTCCGCTCATGACTGGGTTCCCAAAACCAAGGCATTGGTCCACTCACTGGTCTTTCTGAAGCATCTTCAGCACATTCCTCAGCACCAGCAGGTAGGTACGTGTGGGTGTGTAAAGGGGCATGGTATGTTCAAGAATTTTAGCTAAGATGCCATAGATGCTGCTACTAAGCTTCCTAGCTATGAATCATCAGGCCTTCTTGGGCTTCACAAATTGCCAGCGAAAACAAACACTGCTTGCTAACAAAGGGTCTTTCCGCTCTGCTCTGCCGTGATGACCTTGCAGCACCTGGGAAACGGAGAGATGACCAATGGAAAGGGAAATCTTGGAGCGTGTTGATTAACAGTTTGAGATTAGACAAGGCACGCCATGGTTGTTGCCTTGATCTGCTGTTCAACTTTCTTCATCAACCTAGGTCTTCTCCCAAAGGGGCTGTCTCCCATGAAGCAAAGTAGAGGAAATCCCCATAAGTTTGAAACATGTCTTAAGAAGATGTACACACGTATATGGCACATATATGTTTGAGACTACTGCTCTCATGGGTATCGAATGAGGTCTAGGCTCTGGAATTCCCGGAGACTTGGAATCCTTTGCACCTTTCAAGTCCGAAACTTCCACCTTGGCCTGCTCGACCGACTCAATCTCAGCCTGTAGTATGGTGACAGCTGACTCCAGGTTCTTGACCGACCTGGGATGCCGGAGAGAAGATACGTCAATGGCCAGATACTTACATCCCCAGGGGCACAGGTATAGGCATAGGTTCTGAGACATGGACCCTTCAGCCCTTTTCTTTTCTCTGGAATCTGACTTGCTTTCAATTTCTGACTCAATTTTGGAAATCAACTCGTTCAACTTTGTTGATCTGGTCAACAGAGAATCGCCCAGCTTCTTCAAGTTGTTGTACTCCTGGTGGAGATTTTCAGGGAATAAAAGAACCGAATTTAGGAGTTGACAAACCCATATAAATATATTATCAGGATTGAAACACAGTTCAGTATAGGCATATATATCATGAGTCCAACAATCAAATTGCCATGGAACTTAGACAGTGTGTATTGTGAAGAAACAATAAATGGACTGTCCTGCTGGGGTCCAACAGCATCACTCGCTTTTCCTTTGTCATCATCTGAGCTGGATTCTGAGGCGACCGGAACTTTGTTGGCCTTGGACTTCTTCTTGAAGCTTTTGAAGCCAGGAGCCTGAGTCAGTGTATAAAGACTTGATGAACTATGGATATCTGGGCTTATAGAGGGTTATCTGGGGTCATCCGAGGTTATATAAGATTATTTGGGGGTATCTGGGGGCAGGTATCCAAAACATTGAGATGAGGATTGATGGGAATGGAAACTAAGGAGCCCATTGGTATCCCATTGGTTCAATGAACCCATAACAAGGAACCTTGGTGGTGTTGAGAGTTTCCTCCTCCCTTTCCCTTGTTTCATCGACATCCTCGGACTCGGAATCCGATTCGATTTCAACTTTGTACTTGTTGATCTTCTTATTGTACTTGTCCTTCCTGGGCGATTGGCTAAAATGAATGAGCTGTTTTGTTGAATGTTGGGCAAACTGTGGCTAAATCATATAATGGTCATTTTTTGGTAACTTGCAGTGAAGTGTCTTCACAAGCGACCCATTGCCTTTCTTTTCGCAGTACTTGACAACGCTGGCAATGTAGGACCTGATAAGTTTCATCCATCAACTGGTCAAGTATATACTGAGAGCAATGGTAAACCGATCTAACAACTTTGATTTTTGATATTGATTTAACCAAGTAACTTGCTCCAACCCAACTTGGTTTTCATCGACTCCATAGTGTGCCATCCCCGTTTTCTGTTCGACTTCTTCCGGGAAATGCTTTCTCGGGAGCGCATCACAGAAGAAACGAAAACATCCTGCAAGCTGCATTGAAGAACTAGGGAAGAGAAGAGGCCTTGTGAGAAAGGGCCATGTAATTTTGAAATTATGATATGGGCTAATATGTTAAGTTTACGCACTGCTCAGGGGTCCTCATCCCAGCCAGCATCTTGGAGTTTCTTCAAGAGTTCTTTGCGGGTGTGCCCCCCTTTGGCCCACATCGCATGCACTTCTTCGGGTACCCTAAGCTTGCCTGACGGCTTCTTTTCACAAAGCCTTCTCAACCTTCCCTCCATCGCACCCTGGGAAGGCTCACCCGGCTCACTCTCACCTGATTCCTGTTGGTCATCACTGTTGTCATCATCATCACTACCTGATCCATTAGAATCCTCATCTCCCGAAGCACAGCGACCTCCATGCTTGGCCTTTGGCTGAGGTTTCTTGGCTGTACCTTTCTCCATGGAAGTTGGACGCCTAGAACGGGAAGAGCTAGCCCGCGAGGACTTCTGGGAATCCAACTGTTTCTGCATAGAGTCCAGTTGGGCTTGAAGCTTCTCATTGGCCTGTGTTTAGAATGGCTGTGAAGAGAAAACATATATTCATTGGAAATGAAAAACTAGAATAACAAAAATCATACGTTCATGAGCTAACACTGCAACTTTGGAAATCACAAGAAGCACAGGCGCCTCCTGCAGAGTGTCAATTTGCTTGCTCGGGTCTGGGTCAGGGGACTTGAAGCTCAACCTGCGTGCAACCCCTGTGGTGTTCACTTTGTCCTTCTTAGCTGGTTTCTTTGTAGGTGGTGACTTGACAGGTGTGTTGCCTGGAGTTGGCAATGTTCCCTGCTCTGCTGACTGCGCCTTTGATCTCTTACCAGGGGCAGCTTGGGTTTTTGCCGCGGCTTTTGCTGCTGTGCACTTTGAACTAGGGGGGTGCTTTGACTTTGAAGCTTCCAACTCTTCTTCAGTTGCCTGGGGTGCAAAAAAAAAACCTTGCCAAATTGAATGCAGTGCATGGGTGTCAACACGCATCAGTGTTAAGCCAAGAAGCCGGAATCGTATCAGCCTCTTCGAACTTGCCCTTATTGGTACATCACATGGCAGGCAGTTAGGGTATGTTGAAACTTGAACCTGAAAGTCCAGTTGGTTTTGAAACCAAGAAACACCTGAAGAAGCTGAGTCTTTTTTCTGCAATTGCTTGATCTGCCGTTCATACTCCTGGAACGGAGCACCAATTAAATCAGCTGAAGTAAGTGGCATAACGAATAGAACTGTTTATAAATAAACCGGACATACATAGAAGGTAGGATGTCTCCTTGATTTTCTTCTTCAGTTCTTCTTCTTTTTCATATTCCTGTTTGACTTGCATTAACTTGCGACTTCCCCTTTCCAGCTCCGAACAGCTCCGGGTCTTTGACTCCATTTTCCGCATGTGTCCTACGTATATTGCCTGTGTTCCCAGGCTCCGGACCAACACCTTGAGCATCATGAATCAGAATGCAGCAGTCGAAGGACTCAAGCTGACCCGGGAATATGGAAATCAAGGGGGAGCAGGGCATAAACTGTCAATTCCAGCCAATACCCCCTTCAAATTGAGGATAAAAATGGATAAAATGAATTTCCCCAAAACCCCAAAAACACGGAATTTCTACGGGAAAACACGCCCCTTTCATACGGAAAAACACGTCCCTTCTACGGGAAAACACGCCCCTTCTACGGGTGGGATTTTTCACACGTGTGAAACACGTAGAAAACACGTGTTTCACACGTGTTTCACACGTGTTTTGAGATACGGGGTAAAAACGGTGAAATCTTCATGAAACATTCAAAAGATATTATGTTATAAGTATTGTTTTATAATTATATGTTTTTACATTTGATGCATATATGACATACGTTCAATCATGTTCAAACTGCTGCTTCCCCTTTTACTGGCAGATAATTACGGTGGCTACTCCTGGTAGAGCCTGGTACTCACAATTCACCTTTTCGATCTGGGCAAATTCGCAGAAAGATTTCCATTGCGGATGCATTCTGCATGGTTGCAACAACTAATTGGGCAAACAAAAGAATTCCAGGTACTATCCCAAAAGATGGGTTCTCATCATTTCCAATCTCCAATTAGAAATGTGTTGGAAACAGGCATCGCCAGCTTCCAAGATGAAGGCTCCGAGAAGCTCTGATGTAAGCCAAGGTTGACACCATACTAGCGTCTTCCCAAAGATCACCCCATTCTAGAGAGCCAAAAAACTCCTGAGTATCACTATCCATGACCTCTTTGGGGATGTTCCATTCTGCAACCCGCTCACTGCAGAACCTCTGGTGCAACTTTCGCAGATGAACTCCAAAGCGAGGAGGGTATGTCCTGGGCGGAGCTGGGTAGACAGGGCCGGTGATTGATGCCCCCTCAAGGGAAGGAAAAAATACCAGAAAGAGCAGGGTTAAGATAGACATTTTGGTTATGACACCGGTTAACGGTTAAGACAGATCACAAGTGACAACGTACCTGTTGAAACTACAAGAATAGGGTGGTACCAGTGGCCCAAATTGATTTCAAAACAACATCCTAAGGGACTTGACTTGATAATAAATATAAAGATACCCAAAGAAGAGTGGTAGTAAATATACAGATGGATTGAGTACACATGAGTAGATTTTCCCATATCATTTTGTGGAATGGCACAACTTCCAATGGGAAATCTTACTGGTGTATCTTGTCCCTTACCCATTTCAGGCCCGAGCCAACTAATCAACTGGATTGTTCACTTTGGGGCCTCCTGACCAAATGATTTCTACATATGTCCAGCTATATTGCAACAGGACATTTTCCGGGGTAAAAAAAAAAGTGATTTGATCAACTAAGCCCAAGACCCTGTGCCCTTAAGGAAGCGGGTTCCTTTATATGATTTCTTCCCACTCTTCGATGTGTAAGCTACAGCAGACTTGATACCAGAGAGCTTCGATCGTGCTTTCTTGGCTAGGGTGCCCAAGTCTAACATACCCACGGTTGGCGAATTCGAAATTGCTAGATGCCTTTTGGCCGTAGCTCCTCCAAAAAGTCCCATCCACCAGTATGCCAAGAACACCTCAAAGGGTAATGCCATTTTTTGGTTTTCGAGTCATGAAGATAGATATGTTCCATTATTCTCCCAAAACATGTTGTAAACAAAGATGGATGTGGCCGAACTTATTGAACATCTATCATCATCTATCTTTTTATTGAAAACCAACTCAATATAATTATGATTCCGCCCGTGCATTTCCTAGGCTTCCAGAAAGCTAGATTTCCCAGATAAACATCTAATATCATACAATATCCCCATTGATGGAGGTTATCAACCATTTTATACCATAATTCTACCCTTTTTGTTTTCAATGAAAAATAAGTTTTCCCAAAAGCTACCTTTGGGAGACTCTTCATGAACTCCCGCATCCGGGGCTGCCATAGCAGCAGCGATGACCTTGGCTGCTCCAACAGGAACGATCCGCCCATAGCTTGGACGACCCACAAAAGGAGGCATGTCCTGCAGGGGCAGCTGGCATTCCGGAGGTGAGATTTGAATGGCATTTTAAGATGTTTGTCCATCGTTTTCCCATTAAATCCAAGTGTAGAATTTCAACCATTGTGGAAAAGTGAAATCATTGATAATTCATTGATATACACCAAATGTGAACCAGTTCTTGGGAAGTCCATGGTACCACCCAGCTACCATAAATATATAGCCGACGTTTTTTTGAAAAAACCATGTCCGTGTGCAGAGTAAATTTCCTTCCCGCACTGATGGAGCTGATTCATTGCCGAGTGGAGCAAAAGGTTCCCTCTTGTTGGTACCCTTGTTGATGGCCACAAACGACCGACATAGCAATCCAGCGACCAGAAAGAACCCGTCCATCTTACAATTCAGTATGCACCAGAGTGCAAGCCTTAGATCCCGATTAATCCCAACAGGTTCACTCGATATAGATTGTTACTTCAGGGCAAGCTATTGGTGAAGTATAATATGCTGTTTGGTGGTCTTCTTTTGGAAGGTAACCCCCATACCCCATACCGCATAGGGATTCAAACCTATAACCCAACATCCCCTGCAAGTAGTTTCCTGTTTGGGATTGTTTGGGTATGAAAAGTGTAAAGACAAAGCTTGAAGACAAATCCGATTGAATTATGTTGTGTTTGATTTGGGGGAAACCCTGGGTAACTCCAAATAGCAAATATACGATTGCAATGTTTAATTAACCCTAGCAATACTGCTGAGCAGCAAGAATCCGGAATCAGAAAGCAAATCAAAACAGTTTTGCTTCCCTGCAGCATGCTCCCCCTGCCCAAATTTGATGTCTAGACTGGCTGTGGGATGTCCACCAGTGCGCATGCATCTTGACACCCACGCTTCACCAGCATATAGTTCCACAAAGGAATAGGCCTTGGGGCAGAAACAAGCCAGAGGGCACCAAAGTGGACGGACACTAACCAAAAAAAACAGTAACTTGGTGACTGTGGGAATTTCCCATGTCTAATGAGAATTGAGTTCAAACAGTTCAAAGTAACCCAATTTGATCTTGATACATGTATAGATAAATACCCAAGCTAAAGAATCAACCATTTATGACGAACATATGTTTAATATGTGACAATCATACACCTCATGCTGTGTTGTTTCCAACCAACTCTAAAAACATTCCCCATTGTTTTGCAACACCCGTAAAAGATGATGTGGGCAAGTTGCTTCGGAAAACACTGCCACATTGTCCGACAGGGCAAGGAGGATTACCAGAGCTGAAAGGATCTGTCAGGGGCTGAGCCGCTCTCACCTTCCCCAGAATTTCCCATAGAAAGCCATATAGATACAAACTATTTATTACAGTATGTAGATCAGTTAAAACCAGGGTTTTGACAAATTATATATATCATAAACCATTCGTGGGAAGGTCAAAAGTAGGCATGTAAAACCCCAACCTTTGGGGCTCCGAGATGGTGTAGCCTTTTCACCACCAAGTCCAATTTCAGCTGCGTGTTCCCAGCCCCAACCGCCATGCTTTGAAGTAGGCTGGCGCCCCGTTTTTTGGAAAGATCTTTGAACCCAAATCTCATAGAAAAACATCATCAAATAGGTCTTGAACAACTTTGTCAAGAAATTGCAATGCTGCAGCATTCAATCCCAAACTGGACCAGCGCAAACAAGTCTGGATGACCCGAATATTGGTCATGGGGTAAGAGCCTCCGTTTCCACCCTTGGCCATGCACCATAGCATCACAGGCCGGTCTGACCTGAGCGCGTCGGGGGCCATAGAGCAAGAACCCGGGGCAACAGGGTCTCAGGAAACAGAAAGAGGGACAGCAGGTAAGGGAACATGATATTATCATGGGGAACCACACAAAAGTTCCAATGAGATTCAACCATTGAGCAACCATTTCCCCCGACGATTTCATTTCATGATGTCGAGCCAGCGTGGGGAAGGGTTTCCGGAAGCTCTACTGCTATATTGCTACCCAATGACATTGAAACAATGGGTTTCCAAACTATTGAAATCAGTGAAGTAAAACAAATTAGTATGAATTTGATACTTTGTTTTCTCATCTAAATGTTGCCTATTTAACGTGCACTACTAAGTATACATACAGGGACCAGGTTGGCAAAGCTTCCATAGACCCTCTTAGCCACATCAGCCCCGTAACCGCCTAAGATTCATCGATTAGGCGAAGGAACAGTTGCCAGCAAATGCATTGCATACTGCATACTTGGCAAGACCCAGATTTGAAAGCAGTAACTCATATGAGTCAGGGACATAGCGCCCCACATGCTTCAAAAACACCTTTCTTCCCGATGATGGAAGGAATCAATGGGACATTATGCCTGCCGAAAAATAAATTACTATTTAATTTCTGTAGTTGGTTTGTTTGGAAACATATGGAATAATCATGTGAAACTGTTACTAGGGAAGGGTGCGTTGCACGTGGGCAGTGGCTATCCCACTGGAAACCTACAAAAGATTTTAGCCGAATGCCCTAAGCCACAGGTGTCAGTTCATTGTCCAAAAGGTACTGCTCAGCTGACAATGTTGCCATATCCATGATGCTGTCCTCGGCGATGTCCCTGCCCTCCCAAGCTTCGGTGGAATATGCCCAAAACTTCGCCTGCGGTGGCCAAAGCAAATTCATGGTCAACTAGGGAAACTGGGGAAGCCTGGAGAGTGGGATAACAAGTCAGAAGGATGGAAAATGGTGGTATATTTTTTGTTATCTAGGTTGGGGAAGGTTAATCACCCCACATGTGGGAAATTGTGTGAACACAGCAGCAGCTTAAATTGAAACAACATATCATAGGCAACCCTGTCCTCATGTGCAGAAGCGGTGCGATGGACACAAGGGCGAATGTAGCGGTTGAACACATTCTTGAGGGCATCCCATTTGTGCCCCGCAATGCCACCTTTTGGACGGTAGCGACGGGCAAAGGTCTTGGCCTCACCCCTCGGGCACTCAGGGTCAGCAGGATCAGAAGGTTCAGACTCCTCACCTCCTTTGCCTTTGGAAACCTTGGAAGTCTTCTTGGGCTTGATCACTTTCTTGCACCCAGCCTCCTCCACACCCGACTGGCGCTTCCCCTTGGGTTTGGCTGCTGAGCTCGACTTGGCCTTGGGCTTGGCAACCTTGGAGGTCTCACAAGAAGCACCAGAAGCGGTAGGTTTCGAGGCAGACTTTCGGGCTCTCCTCTTGGGCTTTTCAACCTTGGACTCTTCAACCTCCATCTCGGGCTCTGGCATCTCACGTTCATGTTCCTCTTCAGGATTCTCCATCTCCTGATCCTTTCCCTCCCTTGTGGTGTTGGGCTTCTTTGCCTTCCCTCCCCGGCCGCGGCCACGGCCTTTGCCACGGCCCCGTCCCTTCTCAGAAGGAATCTCATTGGTATCTTTGGCCTTCAAGTGAAGCTGCTGCCGACGAAGGACCTAAGTATTGGCAGGCATGGGTGGTGATGAGGTATCCTAAATTCAAAAGGGCCAAACATCTAACTTACGAATACAATGCCATCAGGAAAATTGAAGCAAACGTTTGGCACAAACAAAAAGGTGCATATAATTTGGTGCAGTATGTGGCAGGTGTATCATCGGTGGTCTCAAGGTCAAGGTCCCCCTCTACTTGATTGAACTTCTGAATCAAATTGTCCACGTCTCCCATGTCCATGGTCTCAGCGGTATCCCTTCCATATGGGAGAGACTCTTCAACCTCAATGACCTTGTCAGCGACAGCTGCAAGAGCAGCCTCCCTGGCAAGCTTGCGGCTCTTGAGATCATTCTGTGCTTTCCTAAGGTCACGAAGTTTCTCCTTCAACTCGGAAATGTACATGTCGGTGGGGGGTGGGTGCAAAGGGAGTTTCTTGTCCTCCGCAATTCTCTTCTCCTCTTCAGGGTCCACCTCCATAGATGCATCCGGGGTGTTCGGGTCTTGGGAGTCTTGGGGCTGGGGAACGAAGTTGAAGACATGCGACTTGCCCCTCTGGATCTTCCCATCTGTTGGGGAGGCAGCAGCTTTGTTGACTTCTCCCTCGTCATGTTCAACGGGTTGACCTTCATCACATCCATCCACAACCTCAGAATCACCTGTCGGTTCTTCTGCCTCAGCATCGTCATCACTGATGTCAACTGTAGACGGTGCAGGCGAAGCCATGCCAACATCTGGTCGGTCCTGGGATAGAGAGGCTTGACAGGAGCAGTGGGAAGGTCTAATTTGCCTAGTTGTTAGCCAAGGATATTCATGTATCCCTTAAGAAAAGGAGGTTGGGAACAACAAGCAACTACAACAAATTACACTGGGCAACTGGGTTTCAAAATATTTTTTACTGAAGAACTGGCTAGATAAGCCCCTCCCCTCAGTATTTCGAACTACTTGTCCTCCCCATCACTCCCATCTCTGGAATCGTGACCTGGCTGGTGACCATCGCTGCCACCACCTCCCGCACCACCATCCCTCACCGACATCGCTGACTCATGATCACTACGATCATTCCCATCATTTTCATCACTTCCATCATCATCTCCTAGCTGCCTACCCACCAGAGCAGCCATAAGCAACCGGAACTGGCGGTTCTTTGGCCACTGGGCGCGGGAGACTTTCTTCTTCAGCAGCACACAGCAGCCCTTGATAAACCAGGCCTCCAACTTCACTTGCTTTGGGTCAACAGGTATGGAAGCAATCCGACAGAGCTCCTTCAACCTGGGCGTGGGCATAAAGGTGTAAAACACAAGGCAACTGCTATCAACTAAATGAGTTGTAAAGGGAAAAGGGAAAATGGGAATGATTGGTTTCAAAAAGTATTGAAAGGGCTTAAGCTGAAGGGAAAATGTGAGACAGGTAACTCAGTCTCGATGCTGGGAATGGAGACCATGCCAATCTGGTCACCAAGGTTTTCACCAGTAAGACGCTTCACAACTGGGAGCAGGGCATCGGCATTCAAACCAGCAGCATCCACAGAAGGCTCCACCTTCTCCTTACCTGGTAAGGGACTGAAGATGGAACCATTCTTCCGAAGTTGTTGCCGAAGGGCACGGTCATCATCCCAAGCAGATGCACAACCACTAAGATCAACACTCAAGGCAGCCCTGGCACTATCAACGGAACTCTCCCTGTCCCCCATTGTACTTCCAAACTGGGATCAAAGGTAACCAGGAAGGTCTTCAGCCGGTGGCTGCAGTGACCATACATACGGTGCACATGCACTGGATTGTTTGTGTCCTGAAGGATCATGTGCCAATTGTTTTTTGGGAAAGGGCTTTTGGCCCCCAACAAAAATATTGATAACCAAATTCACCCAAAAAACTCTTTACTATGCTCCCGAGGCCCCTATGTGGATATCCACTTCCCTCCAGGAAGAAAAGGCTCACCCACCAAGCGGCCCCGCATCTGGCCAAGGCCCGGACCACACACAGTGGTTGAGCTCGGCCAAGATGGGGGAAAGAAGCGCTTGAGCGCTTGCGAAATGGGATTTGAGGTATGACCGGTTTTCTGGGATGGGATTAAACATGATTAAACTTATAACCCACAACAGACTGGATTATTGATCCCAAGAAGTAATCCATAGAATTCATCTTGTTGATTGGGCCCGTGCCTACAAACTATTTGAAAGAATTGGTTCATTAGTAGATGTATCCATCATTATCCATCACCATTGAAACGTCATGGTTGGTCCACTGAAAGGATTGTAAGTTTATATGAATTCCTTCATTTCGTGTTGTGCCAATGAATCCACTGCATAATCAGGGCATATTTACATCTCATTTCAGGGTATCCCAAAAAACACGCCCCTATTAGAAAACACGCCCCTGTCTTGAAAAGGATGTAATATAAACCAAAGATGATCTTTTAAAAAAGGGATCTAAAACCGTAGCCCTGGAATGATCCAGGTATATAATATTATATATAGTATACTAAGTATACTCATTAGTATCTTTAGAGTGGATAGTGGCTACCTCAGAAACCGCCCGTGAAATGTCCATGGATCATGTTGAGGTGGGGATATTGGTGCTGAATCATGCCTGAATGCGCCTATGCATGTGTTGTAGGTCTGTCATAGCAAAAGGTCGCTCTGGGTAGAATTGTAAGCTGTTCTTGAACACAGACACTGTTTTTGTTTGCCCTTCGGCTTCGGCAAGTTGTTAAATTTTGTGGAAAATGATTGATTGGGTTCTGTTGGAAGCTCTGGTTGGCGGGTTTCAGTTCAAGGTCAGTTCAAGATCAGCCATTCAAACGTTCATGGTTTAAGGTAGGGGTAGAGATATGATTTAATTTAATGTGCTAATGATCTATTTTTCGATCCCTCGGCGGAAGCAAGTCCAAGTCTATGTAGGTTTGGACAGGGTAGCCCTCCTCGACCGAGTGTTGCTTTCTGATCTCAGCGACTGGTTTCTGTGATTTCCCAATATGTCGAGATGCTGTATACCAAGATTACCAAGGCATACCAAGGCGGGAAACGAGAAGGGCATCCATGAACTTACCACCAGATGCCTGAGTTTGGCAAAAAGCTTTGTCGCCGCTTTGCCGCTTGAGTTCGGCCGAAGTTTGGTTTTCAACCAAGCACGAGTCTAGCACCTCTAAAGTTTTCGACTCTCGGTCACAATTTGGTGGTGGTGCTTATCAAGTTGAATACTGAGAACAAACGCGTGTTTGAGGACCGGTGAGTGTATTGAGCTGCTTCTTTCAGCTGTAACTGCAGGATAGTCAGGTGACAAGCACTACTACTTTTGATAAAATTTCGGCATACGCCGACTTATATAGTTGAAACATGTTGAAACCAACTCGACAGCTTCGGTTCAGGAAAAGCATAACGATGCTGCATCATGTTGCTTCCTAAATTGAAATGATCCGGTATGATCTTTGCAAGCAGACGTCTTCATGCAAGTTCGCCAGCGATTCCAAGATTGACCTGCAGCTGATGCAGGTGTGAAAGGACATTTATTTATAATGGTTGATGTGCATCCAGCATGGACCTACAGCTACAGATCCTTACACCTTACCCAGCTCTATCCCAGCTTTTTCGAAGTATTTCAATATGAATCTGGCAGATTGTCACAGAACAAGTTGACGTCCGAGCCGCTTGGACCGGCAACGCGCAATGGGTGGAGCCGCATCGGGCGAGCCTACTCATCAACGCCGCGTGCAGGATGCGGAAGCCCGCGCTTCCAGCAAGGACCTGTCAGTTTTCAGCGGGGTTTTACGGGACGAATGTGGAAGATTTGAGCAGCTGAACCTGGAGCTAACATGAGCTACCCTCTAGTAATTTAACATAACTAATTATGGAAAATCACCATTTTCAATGGGAAAATCCACTATTTCTATGGCCATTTTCAATAGCTATATTAAATTACCATGAGCTAACTGTTGAGTTTCAATATATGTCAGATCAGCAATGGCACGCAGCATCATGCCTTGCATACGCTTGCATACGGCTGGATATGGCTGGATATGGCTGGATTCAGCCATGTGAGTTGCAAATCTTCGATTTTGTCTGTAGAGGAGCCGGCTCACCAGCTCCGCGAAGCTTCTGCGGAGCATTCGGGGCAGGCCGGGACGGGCAGAGAGGTCACCAAGACAAGGAACACGTCACAACCAATACTTTGCGATCTTCTGTGTTTTTTTCACTTTCCTTGTCTTTTGTTTATTTTTTCTTTGTGTTTTTCTCCCTTTACTTAGTCATGCCTTCTCCTGTTCCTGTTTTATTGCCTTTCTGTTTGGTTCCTTGTCTTTTTTTTCCTTTGATGGTTTTCTTTGTTTCTTCTCTCTGCTGTTTTGCCTTTTGTATGCTATGTTATTGTAGTTTTGCCGCTTTCTTCCTTCTATGTTTTCCTGCTTCTATATTTGTTTTTTCCTGCTTCTCTGTTTTCTTGTTCGTTCTACCCTATCCTTGCAATGTTTGTTCGTTTTCGCTGCTCTGCTTCAAGTTTGTGCTTCAGGATCTCTTCATTTTCCTGCTTCCCCGTTCTTCTCCTTTATTGCAACAACAACAGCAAGAGCAACAAAAACAGCAACAAGAACAACAAGAGAAGAGAACAACAAACATAGAACCACCAGAACAACCAGACAAGAACGAAGTTGTTAGCCGCAGCTGTTTCTCGTTTCTTTTCTATTTTGTTTTTCGGTTTCTTTCGGTTTCTTTGCTTTGGTGAAGCCATGAAGAGACCATGAGACCATACCCAGATACCGGGTAAATGAAACGTAAATGACCAGGGCAAGTTAAGCTGAGTTAAGCTGTCTCAGTGCTGAAAAAGCATCTAAATAAAGGAAGATGGAAACTCCACAATGCGTC